ATAATCCTTTAGGTGAGTGTATATGAAATTTTGCTAGGATAATAAGAAGATTTATAAGATAGTATTCTTCCTGTTTAGAATGACAGATATTGTAAAATCCAAACAACACATCCTTAAATGAGAGAGAAAAATTTTCACATATACATCGGCATACAAACTGAGATAAGTCTTTCCAAAACATAGTGACAAAAGGGCAGTTCCAGAACAGATGTAAAACTGTTTCAACATGGACATTACAAAAAGAACAATTTGTCTGAATATCCTTCTTCAACTTCAAATTTGTCGGGTAACACCTGTGTAGCAATTTATAACAGACATCGCTACATTTATTTGAAATGACATATTTGTATGACAAAGACCAAACTTTTTTCCACAAAATATTTGGAACAAATCGCCCCCAAGAAGTCGGACAAGATTTTCTTGTCCGAGTTGCCCCTGTGACGTAATTTCAACATGGCGACTTGGTTTGTTTGTAGTTTGTTTACCGTTCGAAAAAAGAATATCGCTATGAATATACTAAAATATTTTATAAAGCTTTTAATGTGGTTTGACTGGTTCGTGTTTCTTGTTTGTCTCTCGGAAAAATCTCCATTTCTCCATTTTCTCCATTTGGAAAACTCCAAATCTGCTAAAATATAAAGCAACAACACACAGCAACGTGTTCATGGAGGCAGCCATGTTTGTTCCGAGATGTGGATAGCTGGAACGGAAGATTGTCGGACGTGATGTCACTCAACTCAGAAGTTCCGAGAGAAAAACGAACGCACCATCAGATGCATTGCGACCTCTCACCCGGCTGCACAAACTGGAACCGCCTCCGTGACGACACACCTTTGCCCTTATTGGCTGAAGAGTTTAGTTACACGCATGACGTTTGTATCCCAGGCAGTTCCGATGCGTAATCTGCTATTTCTCCCAAATATCACGTAAAGCAATGAGAACTGGTTTTCAGTTAATTTTCCTGGCAAAATAAAGTTTAAATAAATGACATAAATGCTCTAATAGTACACATAAGTTAGTGGTTTATTTATTGTTAGTTACTGCAATGTTGCGCTGCTTTATTTGGTTAATCGTCCAGTCTGGGAAGAAGGCATTCAAGTAAGAATTGCATTGTAGTATGACTCATTTCCGGGCGCATACAATTTATATTAGGTCAGCGTTCACGGTTCGACTTCTGATATTCAGATCAAGTTCTAGGTCAACCTGGTTTGTTCGACTTTCAAGATATTTGAGTTCTAGTGAGTTCGAGAACCGAGGTACCACTATCTCCATAGCAAGCTGAACAGCTTGTAAATGTGTTACTTGTAATGAATTTCTTTCTTTTTTTTAAGTGCAGAATCGATTAGATATTTGTTTAGCTAACCAAAAGTAGGCTGAGAGAAATAACTCTTATCAATGTCAGTACCTCAGACTTCGTAATGTTGTTTACTACTCTCCTGCTAAACTGGGGTATGCTTTCTGAAAAGCATAGCTACTAGCAACGTGATTAGCTACTTACATAGTTAGAACCATGCAACTATGTAAGTCATTAATGGGAGCCTTTGGGAAACATTCCCCTCACTTACCTGTTAACGATCAATATCAACCATGCCTGTTGACAGTTTGGTTCCTTGAGAAGGGTATGAAAATTCACAGCCTTGAACGGCACACTTATGCATACAGCCTGCCATTTTTGCTGTTCTCTGCTACATTCTTCACAAATCTACACAACTGTTGAAGTCTGAATGCGCATGTCCATTGAGCTTGAAAGTGGGCTGGCATATATTACGTTTTGGGAGTGTGATTAAGACTGTTTTTCGAAACAGAATTCGAAACAGCTCATTTCACTTCCTTCTTTTACATATTCAGGAATTATATTTGAAAGAGGGAACAACAGTGTTTGAGATTCCTGGTGTGTCATTTCCATGTACTGAACTTTCATTCTTTGGCACCGTTAAAAAGGAGTTTGGAGATTGCTAACGAGTTTCAAAAAACAGACAACAAAATAACGTAAATTAATCTGTCATTGAATAGATTTTAGATCATGGTCACTCTCATGCACTCAATCATCAAACTGGCTCTGTAAGAATATTATTAGGGAACGTGGTCTGTATCAGAGGTGGTAAATCCAGACCAAGGTTTATTTTCAACAAACCAGTTGTAAAGAGGCACAGTCACAGAGTACTCAACTGGTTGGTTGAAACTAAATCTTGGTCAGGATTTGTACTTCCTCAACCTGAAATTACCACCTCTGGTCTATATGACTTCTGAAAATGTACAGTTTGGCTAAAAGTACATAGGTTTGACTTAAGGTAGACTTGATCACTGTCAATGATAATGTGATTGTAACAAATGGCAAGAGAACCTGCAGTGTACCAACAGCTGTTCATTTGAGTAGGTGGATTGAGTTCTTGAAATTTCTGCACGCTAAACTTTTCATCCACTAAACTCTGATATCTTCCTTTCGAAGTGAAAATGCTCATGTATTCTTCATGACAGGAAACATGTTGACCTTCAGACGATTGTCCAAAAAGTAAATGTTACCATGTTTAACTATTTTCCTAACTGTAGTGATTTAAGCTGTTGCCGTGTTTACCCTCCAATTCCTTTTGAAGTATAGGGTGTGCCTATTATTATGTAGTATTTTGTATCACTGATGTGTAGGGTATATATACCCATCTATGTGTGTATAATAACATGTTTCCTTTTTCAGGCTGAACAGCTGTAGGCTCACAGAGAAATGCTGTGAAGCACTGGCTTCAGTTTTTAGCTCAAAATCCTCACACCTGAGAGAGCTGGACCTGAGTGACAATGACCTGCAGGATTCAGGAGTGAAGCTGCTCTCTGCTGGACTGGGGGATTCACCCTGTAAACTGGAGATACTGAGGTCAGTATTACTGGGTATTTCACACTGTAAACTGGAGATGCTGAAGTCAGTATTACTGGGTATTCCACACTGTGAAGTGAAATACTGAGGTCGATATTTCTGGGTGTTACACACTGTAAACTGGAAAAACTAAGGTTAGTATTACTAGGCATTCCACACTGCACAATGGAGATACTAAGTTCAGTGCTACTTCTTGCAGTAATTAAAGAACAGTTGTTCTTTTCCCAGTGTGTCCCTTCAGTTTAGAGGAGTCTAAGAATTTGTTCCAGTATCCTCTCTTAATTATTTTTGCTTCATAATTTTGGCAATAATTGTTATTATGTGACAGTTTAACACTCTTTTAATTTACTATCATATTATAACAGACTGCAAAACCTGTTTTATATCAAGTGACTCTTGATATTAAATGAAAATGAAAACAAAGTATTTTTTGACAAATGATATGTAAATAATGGCAGAAGAATCTGGGGGCTCATTTGTAAAAAATGTAAGGAAATATTCATGCGAAAACTCGACTTTTGTACGAAAAGTAAAAGTCAGATTTATTAAACCTTGCATAAACCACGATATGCATTGTACAGGTTCTAAATCACATGTATCATAGAAACACTTGCACATGTGCACATTTAAGAGACCACCCCTTTATAAACCACTATTTACTACAACATTGGCAATGTACATTAGCCAAGTACATATAAATGTGCACATCCCAAGTTTGCAATGCCATTTCAGAGACAATGCAGCTACAAACAGAAAAAGGAATTTCTCAGAATGTGAAGTGCAGACTTAATAGTGTTCGAAGTAGAGGAACGCCAAACCATTTTATCTGGAAGTACATCTGCCAGTGTGACAAAAAAAAACTAAATGGCAGCATGTGACTGTTATTGTGGTCAGCTCAACAAGCCAGACAAAGACAGGAATTAAACAAAATGGCTGGATTTAAAATCCATTATACTGACATTCCTCTTCTCTATGTAGTTAGTGAAATGAAGGTAACCCCTTCAGATTTGTGAGGGTTATTTTCACTCCCGCAAATGTGAAAATTTGTGAAAAATACTTCCCCAACCCATAACAGTCTGCTAGCCTGAGCAATAACATAAAACATCTATTTATTAGCAATGTCTAAACAAACTCTACTGTACACTTTGCATGTGAAATTATTTTGTCATTTCCTATCTTATATAATGTACAAACCATCTAACTTATATAAAATTATGTAGAATGTTACTAATTTACGCACTGGGAGCATAACATTTTGGACACATTATTAGAAATGCACAGTTAACGGTACTGAAAATTTTAAAAGATACTGTACCATCAAAACGACAGCTAACATGAATGAGGCTGGTTGTCAAGACAAATGGCCCTTTTCCATTGGTATACAGGAACCGACCTGTACCCCAGCCGTACTGAGAAGAGCGTGGTTGCAAATCTTTTTGGTTTTCCACTGCAGGAGGGTGGCTCAGTAAAGGCGTTGCCAAGTTTGGAGAGCAACAGTGACATTAAATCAAAGAGACGCTTGTTTATCGTGTGCATCATGATTTACTGTATGCAGTTATTATTATTTTTATTATTTCTTACTGTGTGCTCATTTTTGCTGGCATGTCTATGAGAATTGTGCGAACAGTTTGGGGAAAGTCCTTTTCTGCTCCAGCATGACTCTGCTGTAGAGCACAAAGCAAGGTCCATAAAGACAGGCTTGGGTGAGTTTGGTGTAGAGGAATTTGCCTGGCCTGCGCAGAGCCCTTACCTCAACCCCATCGAACACCTGTATTCATAAAAAAAATGCGTATACATATTTTCTTTAGAATTAGAATTTGGTGATCAGTGGTCATTGTTGACACACATGAGAACATAAGAAATTTACAAACGAGAGGAGGGTATTCGGCCCATCAAGCTTGTTTGGGGAAAACTTAACTAATAACTCAGAGTTCTTAAAATCTTATCTAGCTCTGATTTAACACTCACACTGTTTATTAAAGACAGACAAGCACTCACGCCGACCGAAAAAATAAAAATATATATATATCTATATATGTAACAACCACCCACGTAACCGTACTAGCTCACAAACACTCAAATATACTTCCAAATAATTCCAATCAACCGCTTTAACAGGCACACAACACAACCTGCAAACCACAGCACACAGTGCACAACAACGAAATGTGTCCTCTGCATTTCACCCATATGTGACATTATGACAGAGGGCAGCTAAAGAACTATTTAAGTGTTACACTGCATTGGGAATGGGATTGCTTGGGATTTGAACCCAGGACCTTTTGTACCAGAGGTGGGGCTCATACCCCTGCGCCAATGAGCGGATCTTTTTTATGTGGAACAAACACAAGTAGAAACAACAGCTTGCAACTCAGCAGCAACAATTTATGCAACAATAACACTTGTATGCTACAACTTCCATTAAAGTATAAAAGTAGATTGTAATGTTGGTGTAACACCTGGGGACGATAACAAAACTCACGCAACATCCAACTCGTAAGTCTGCTCCTCGTGTCGTAAGGCGCTTTCTCACCGAAGTAAAGAACCCTAGTTCCTCGGCTGACCTGGAACTTTTGTAGCTATTGGCCATTTTTGTCGACTAATCTGTGCAGCCCCTACTCCTGGGTGTGAGAGACGGGAGGTGTGAGGGAGATGCTGATGTCTGTTCCCAGCTGAGATGGGGAACACAGAACGAAAAGCCATACGCACACCCGACAGACGTCCGTGGTAATGCAGAACTGAGATTCATTGCTGAACATGATACGACGTCACTCGTAATCAGTCCATGACTCCTGGTTATGGCATCACTCCAAACGCAGCCTTCCCTGCACTGGTGTTAACAGCAGCCTATGCATGGGACGGTGAACCCATAATCTGGCTGATGCCAGTTGTCAACACATGGTGTAGGATGACACGGGGTGTTGTAGAGAGTCCAGTACCTGTGTCCGGATGGCAGGTGCAGATGTCATGGGGTTCTGTAATGCTTGGTGCACAATATGACGATCCTCTCTTGGTGTGGTCGGTCTTGGGCGACCAGAAACTTCACGACGTATGTGGGTGCCCTCACGTGCCCATTGGTTTCAACATTGGGGACTGTGATATCTGCATGCCCCACATGCCAGGCAATTACATGCAAACCCACAATGCAACCCCTATCAAACTCCGTCAAGTGCTGGTAATGCTGCCTAATGCATCTACAAGGCATCCTCTGTGTCTGTTACTATACATGCCAGCCCCTTGCAAATCAAATCATTACTTTTGGTAACTTTTTTTGTTACTCAGTGTATTTTGATTTGCTTTCTGCAGGCTGTCAGGCTGTAGAGTCACAGAAGAAGGCTGTTCTTCCCTGACTTCAGCTCTGAGGTCAAACCTCTCACACCTGAGAGAGCTGGATCTGAGCTACAATCACCCAGGAGACTCAGGAGTGAAGCTGCTCTCTGACGTACTGAAGGATCCTGGCTGTAAGCTGGAGAAAGTGAAGTGAGTACAGAGTGTGCATTTTACAAAAAAGAAACTGAACATCAAGAAAAGCCATAATGTGTTTCATCAGTAACATAATAAACGAAAATAACCAGCTTATCTTTTCTGTTCCTACCTCCTTATATTCCACAAACTTATCAGCACTCAATCCTTGTTAGAAATTATTAAGCAGTGAAGCAGGAAATAACCATTCATTTTTAATACTCACAAGATTTGTTTTGGTTAATAGGGGAAAAAATGGCCAAAAAAAGCAATGTTGCAATTTCGAACAACATAAACATGTTGACTGTAACATATGTTACAAATAAAAATACACTGGGCATCAATCATAACTGGCATGATTGCTAATATGCTTTTTATATACAATATATTCAACCTTTATAAAAAATCTGTTTTGTCATTTTCCTTGTACCAGTGCAAAAACTGGATTTAAAAGTTACATTTTTTTAAAGGCTGGACCAGTGTGAACTGACAGAGACATGCTGTGAAGCATTGGCCTCAGCTCTCATGTCAAACCCCTCACACCTGAAAGAGCTGGGCCTGAGTGACAATGACCTGCAGGATTCAGGGGTGGATCTGCTCTCTGCTGGACTGGGGGATTCACACTGTAAACTGGAGATACTGGGGTCAGTATTACTGGGTATTCCACACTTAAAACTGAAGATACTGAGGTCAGTATTACTGAGTATTCCACACTGTAAACTGGAGATATTGAGGTCAATATTTCTGGGTGTTACACACTGTTAACTGGAAATACTGAGGTTAGTATTACTAGGCATTCCACACTGGAGAAGTTCAGTGCTACTTCATGCAGTAATTAAAGAACAGTTTGCTTGGTTTTACACATTGTTAACTGTAATTATTGACATCTTTATTGAAGTAGATATATTTAAGTTTATAATTGTAACAGTGAGCTAATCTACCTTCTTGGAACTTAGACAGTGTTGTTGTCTGTGGCTTTGCAGGTTGTCAGGCTGTAAAGTCACAGAGCGAGGCTGTTCTTCCCTGGCTTCAGCGCTGAGGTCAAACCCCTCACACCTAAGAGAGCTGGATCTGAGCTACAATCACCCAGGAGACTCAGGAGTGAAGCTGCTCTCTG